AAGGGAGTACCATTGCACTAGAAACATGAAGCCCTTCAAGTTTGCAGTTCCACTCTACTCCCTCCGTCCGGTGAAGAGTGTACGTTTGCCTTTAAAATTTATCCACAAAAGAGTGTACTTCTGTAATTAATGTAGTCCAGTGCATAGATGTTTGTTACCTTGTGGCCCCAACACTTAATTTAAGGACCCAATCTGTTGGATTGCTTGCTGTATTTCATTTAATAGCTAAACTTGAGACACTAATTAATTAGTAAATGAAGTTAAGAGGCATATCCAGTTTTAGATGTGCTTTTGTGGCAATAAACTGAACTTGAATGGCTCTCTTTGACAACATTATGCTAATATCCAAATGAAGCATACGGGGTCCCTTAGTGTTAGGATTTCCTTAATGATTGTTGTTGCCTAACTATTACTATGTTTTCCCTCCAGCAAACAAGTTTTCTCAGGCTGTAGAGCTCTATGACCAGGCTATTGATCTAAATGGTTCAAATGCGGTTTATTGGGCAAATCGTGCATTTGCACATACAAAGCTTGAGGAATATGGAAGTGCTGTCCAGGATGCTACAAAGGCTATTGAGATTGATCCTAAATATTCGAAAGTGAGTATCTATGACCTGGACCTGCTGCTGGCAAAAAAAATATTAGGTTCTCACCTTTTGCAAAACTTTGTGCCCGTAGGGTTATTATAGACGAGGTGCGGCATATCTTGCTATGGGAAAATTCAAGGAAGCCCTGAAAGATTTTCAACAGGTATGTGTCATATTGTTTAATAAATCCACTTATATGTCTACTGGATATTGGTGTTCATTTGTATTTAGTCTGCTCTGGTTACATTTACTTTTTAGACAATGAGATTCCATATTGGCATTTGCTTTCCCTGCAACTAAGTAATATATGCAATTATATTTTCTTATTAGGTGAAAAGAATCTGTCCTAATGATCCAGATGCTACAAGAAAGTTGAAAGAGTGCGAGAAAGCTGTCCAAAAAATCCGTTTTGAAGAAGCAATTTCTGTAGGGGATACAGAAAGGCGCTCTATAGCAGATTCTCTTGATTATCATATAATAGGTATCTGGTCTTTGAATTTCCATATTTTCTGGCACTTCACTATCTCCAGGTTCGATATATACTATTTAATGTGGCCACAAATGGGACACAAGCATTCTTTCCTTGTGCTATTAGTATGTTCTTTCATGATAAATCTATTTGCTTGTATTCATGAGTTCTTATATTGGTTTTAGAGTGCCTTCCACATTCTGCTCTTGGTTGCTTCTATTGTTTTTTTTTTAACTTTCACAGTCTTCTAATGCTCGGCATATTATGCACACAATCTAAGTGAAGCAACATACTCCCTCTGTAAACTAATATAAGACGTTTTAGGTCACTACTTTAGTGATGAGTAGTTCTTAGTGAAACATCGTATGCTGTCAGTGTTGGTATATTGCTAACATTACATGTTCTATTAGTGAAATTGAGCTTTAGTTATTAAAATAGCTGATAGGTATTTTGATCTCAGCTATAGTGGAGTTAAACAAACATTGTTAATATTACAGAAGTTGAACCACAGTATACTGGAGCAAGAATTGATGGGGATACAATAACATTAGATTTTGTCAAGCAGATGCTGGAGGATTTCAAGAAGCAAAAATGTATACATAAAAGGTACAGTTTGTAATTGTCATGGCAATCATGAATCATTTTGTTTTCCTTTTAAAAGTTTTCTTGGATGCTTTGATAAGCTATAAGTTGGCAATATGGTATAGGTATGCATTACAGATTGTGTTGCAAGCACGGGACTTGCTGCGGGCAGTGCCTTCCCTCGTTGATGTGAATGTTCCAAATGGTTGTCACTTTACGGTCTGCGGTGATGTTCACGGCCAGGTATTTGCCTTAACAAGTGAAGTCTTTCTCTAGACATAGCTCTCCTTAACCATTTGGGTATGCATTTTGAAATGCTTTAATCTTGTGAAGTGGTAACAGAACCCTTTATATTCACACATATAGTTGGAATGAGGTCGAAATCGCTAGTCTTAATGACATTCTAATTTTGATTGTGATTTCTTTTGTTGTTACCTATTGGGGGGCTTAATGCCCTGCTGTTCTATTTCTATTTACAGTACTTCGATCTGCTAAATATATTTGAGCTCAATGGACTTCCCTCTGAAGACAACCCTTACCTCTTCAATGGAGACTTTGTGGACAGAGGATCGTTTTCACTTGAAGTCATACTTACTCTCTTTGCGTTCAAGTGCCTCTATCCAACTGGTAATTATCTTCAATTATTATTTTGTTCATGGTCATAAATTGGACTAGTCGGGTCTGCTGTAGTATGTATTCTACTGCTACATCCTCCTACCAGTTCAGCTTTAATTAAGTGGAACTATGAGTTAAGCATGGCTAGAATTTTCTATAATCAGGTATGTATCTAGCAAGAGGAAACCATGAAAGCAAGAGCATGAACAAGATATACGGTTTTGAGGGAGAAGTGAAGTCCAAGTTGAGTGATACGTTTGTTGAGCTGTTTGCTGAAGTATTTTGTTGCTTACCTCTGGCTCATGTAATCAACAAGAAGGTCTTTGTAGTTCATGGGGGTCTGTTTAGTGTTGATGGAGTGAAGTTATCGGACATCAAGGCCATTGACCGTTTCTGTGAGCCTCCCGAAGAAGGTATTTTTTCTCACTTCACTATTTACAGTTGTCCATTCTTGAGTGGATATATGATTTTTTTCTTCATTCCTTCTTAATGAACTGCTTTTATAAACACCTGAGTTATGGTATGATTGCATTTTTCCTTGCTTCTCGTCTGAAGCTGCGAACATATCATCTACTCATCGTTGACGTCAAAGATGTCAAAGTACCTTTTCTTTATTCTGTTTTTAGAAACTGAAAAAAAAGTCACCATATCAACCTTAATTTTGTTCATTTGTGCAAGATGTCCATGGGATTACAACCATTGCATTTCTGATGGCTATATGCTATCATTGTAGATTCTATTGTGAATTAACTACAATGTTCTGCAAAAACATATACTTGTTAACAAAACTTGCGATGGAAGTAATGTATTTTGCATTTATGTGTGTGTATGTATATGTGTGTTTTGGCTATTTGGCAAAGTTAACTCTTGCTTTTTTGTTGACAGGTTTGATGTGTGAAATTCTATGGAGTGACCCTCAGCCTCAGCCTGGGAGGGGTCCAAGCAAACGAGGTGTAGGGCTTTCTTTTGGTGGAGATGTGACGAAGAGGTTTTTAGAAGATAACAACCTGGGTAGGCCCCATAACAAATTGTCGTTCACTCGTTCTTATATTGTTTTAACATGCCAGATATATTTAGTTTACGCTTGTTGGAGTATGTTTCTTGTTTCTATATAACGTTCTTCTCTTGCATGTTTTCTTCTAATTTGGTTGATTGCCTGGCAGGCCTTGTTGTCCGATCCCATGAAGTGAAGGATGAAGGGTATGAAACTATGCATGACGGAAAGCTTATTACTGTCTTCTCAGCTCCCAACTATTGTGACCAGGTATGCTAAATCACGGGGAAAAAACTACACCGCTTGCATTCCTTGAAATTTTCTCTTGAGAAGTTGAGATGTAGTTCTGGCAAGCCAACTGTTCTCAGTTTCATGTTATGGATGCTGACTGCACCATGCTGTTCTAAATTTCCGATGCAGATGGGCAACAAAGGTGCATTTATTCGGTTCAATGCTCCAGATTTAAAGCCAGATATTGTTAGTTTCTCAGCAGTGGTATGTCCTTTTTGACCTTTTGCATCTAAGCTTCTCGCAAATAGTTTGGTTTGTATGACATCTAAGGTTCTTGCAAAGTGCGTTGATTCTTGTTGAACTTGACTGGCATGGTATATAGTTTGAAAGTTGCAGATACCTATTTCAAGCACCTCTTAACTGCTTATGCCCTAGTCATTCATTTGATCAATTATGCTGAACTTTTCCCTACCAAAATATGGTTACTTCATGTGCTAATATTAAGGCTGATCACACTTCTATTATTGCAGACACACCCTGATGTCAAGCCGATGGCCTATGCAAACAATTTCCTCCGGATGTTCCAATAGCAGCAGCCGGAACCTGTCTGGCCAATTTTGATATGCAAACTTTTCTGCGCCCAGCTCATTTTCGTACCAAGTTCTCATCCAAGTCATGCGTTGAGCAGCAAATATTTTGCTACAACAATTTAGATGCTGCTGTGACCCCTCCTGCCCTTTGTTAATTATTGGTTCTAGCACAGTGATTTAGGTGTCTGTAGTTGTACATTTGCTATATCTTTCTGCCCTTGTCAGTTCAGTGGGATTATGTTGCTCTGCTCAGCTTTCACCGTGCTGACACCCCAGGATTGATGCCTTTTCGCTCTTGATTGCTTGTGTGGATTGTTGTAATACATTTCATACACAAAATGCTACCTGCAGCATGTAGCGGACTATGATTATTTTGTACTGAGGGTGAGCACAGGATTGTGCAATGTAGTGTTGTGTCAACGCCACAATGCGGCCTTGTAACACTTTATTGTTTAGTTTGCTTGCCATTTTTTATGTTTATTTTCTTTCTGATGTTTATTTAAGTTTCTGGCCAGTTATATATATCTGCATTGCACTTGATTTTCAGCTGGTCGGTAAGATGATTGGGCTGACACATGTTTTTCAAAAAAAAGATATAGGAGATGCTTTCAAGTTGGTAATTTCCTATTTCTGAATTTGAACATTTGGCTGTACTGTTGAAGTAAAATCTCACCATCTGAGTTCCAAGTCTTTGTAATGCGAATTAAGTTCTTAGTTGTGATAACAAGGCATGGTAAAACTTGTCCAGATTGATTTTATATTTTGATGCCAGATACTAATTTCATGGGCAAATGGGAAACAAAGGAGAAACTTTACTTGGAATCGGGTTTATGTCGGTGAAAAGACCCATGCGCATGTACATTTCTCACCATGTAACATCACAATCTAATTGCCACTGGTTAAAGCAAATTTTCCATCCTAAATTTAACCCCTTACAGCGGTCTGAGAAACGACGCAGTCGACCCGCTCCTGGCGATCGGCTTGTCCGGGAGCCGTATGAGGTTGTAGGTCCAGGCTGCCGCCACCGTCCCGCACACCGGGCCGACGACGTACACCCACACACCGCCGTACCGGCAGGCGACGATCGCCGGCCCTAGGCTCCTCGCAGAGTTCATCGACGCCCCCGTGATCGGCCTGCACGTCCACGAAGAAGAATGCAACGTCGACATGTTAGGAGTTTGAGGTAAGATCAAGACCACGTCTATGCTTTAGATCGGCTTGTACCCGGCAAAGAGCACGTTCAGCACGACGGTGGCACCAACTGCGAGACCAGCCAACTCACCAACCTGCAGGAGCTATCACATATCAGCAGAAGTTCATCGTTTCCGATCTCCAAGTGCTGGGTGGCGTGAAGCGGTGGTCTTACTGCTCTGTCGTCCGTGCCCACGCCCGAGACGACGAACATGAGGTAGAAGGAGATGATGAACTCGAGCGCCACCGCCTGCGTGCTCGAACCGGACGGCATCGTCCCGAACGAGTGCCCGTGCGCGCCGCCGAACGTCAGTCGCAGCGTCAGGCTCGCCAGCGTGGATCCCAGCACCTGAGCCAGCACGTAGGACGGCACCTGCAACACACCCACATATTTTTCGGATAATCTACAATGTTTCTGATCGTATCACATTTCATCGCAATGAAGATCCGTGTGTTGAAACTACCTGCTTCCACGGGAAGCGGCGGCAGGTGGCGAAGGCGATGGTGACGGCGGGGTTGAAGTGCGCCCCGGAGACGTGGCCGACGGAGTAGACCATGACCATGACGACGAGCCCCCACACGACGCAGATCCCCGGGAACGTCACCGCGCCGCCCGTGCTCTGGTTCACCACCACGGCGCCGCACCCCGCCAAGATCATGAAGTAGGTGCCCAGAATTTCGGCAAGAATCTGCTCAAACCCGCGTCAAATGAGCACGATTCTTCCAGCAAAATTTGCTGCATCTACGCGGTACAGAACTACTCCAGATACTGCAGCCACATGTATACCTTCTGCATGAATTGGACGGACATCAGGCCGCTGCCGTCGCATCTGCTGCTGTCACTAGTGTTGCCCCGGTCTTCTGAATTCTCAGACGTGGCCTCTTTCTCGTCTCGCCCTTCCTCCATGGCTCCGGTGTCGCCTCCGTCGTCTCTCTTAGGTTAGTGGCATACTGTCCTCTCCGTTGCGCGCACTACCCTACTTCTCCTTCTCCTGGTCTGTACTCCTTGATAGCATTGATGTCCTTCAAGAGTGTGTATATCTCCCATGGAACCATATATTCTTCTTGGACTGATTACCTACTTTACTTGACTGGATGTGGCTTAATGCAACCACTGAAGTAGGCGTGTGCAAAAAGCCAAAAACGTAACCAACTCAACCACCAAGGGCTAAACATGATTAAAAAAAAACGTTTCAAAAAACATGATAAAAATTAGGGTCTGTCTAGTCTTGGCACAATATTTCACGCCAAACTGAATCCATCTTCAGTAAAATAAAGTTTTTTTTATTTCTTATATCTATCCACACAAAGTTATATGAATAATTAGTCTTCAAAACTAAAATGGATCTGCATGCTTGTACCATCCTAAATATTTGAAAGGAAAAAAAAGTTTGCATCTGTTGGTTTGTTCATGAATGGAAGACGAACTATTGTCTGACAAAGGTGCATCAATTGTTAAAATCCTGATCATTTGTACATGGAGATTCAAATGTACACTGAAACAAAACAAAAAAGCCCGCTCTTTTTTTTTATCTCTAAGCAAATAGAGAGAAAATGTAACTTTAGGCACCAAATTTTGGTTGTGTGGTACAAATTGAAATGTGAATTAGCAATTTAGAAACAAATTGTCTGTAAATAAAACTTATAAGCAACTTCAATATGTGTGGGCAAAACGCCACATGTTTACAATACATTATGTTTCATATCTTATACTTTTACAGCTTACTCCCTCCGTTCCTAAATATAAGGCTTTATAGAGATTCCAATACGGATTGCATATGGATTAAAATGAGTGAATCTACACACTAAAATATGTCTATATACATCCCTATGTAGTCTGTATTGAAATCTCTAAAAAGTCTTATATTTAAAAATGGAGGGAGTACTTTAGATGTCACATTATTACCTACATCCCATAAGACCCCTAGCCGTTAGATCACCGCGGAATGGACGGTTCGTAATCACGTGGAGCACCCTGCAGTTTCTCTTTTCTAAAGTGTTGACTATTTGGGGCCTCTTTGAACTGAAGGAACTTTGTAGACTCTCCACGTGATTTTTTGTAGAACTCCATTTTATGGGGGTCCTTTGGATCAAAATCCTTTTCGTACACGTGTCCCTAAGGACCAAGCCACAGTAGTTTTTACTGTCATGCACGTACGACGAGTAATCCTAACCTCACTGCTCCAAAGAGACGACATGAATCTCATGAAAATTTGACTTCATGTCTTGCATGAAGTTTCTCCTCTCTCGAAGTTCCATGGTAAATTGAAAGAGCGTGTTTGCAAATTTCCGTGTTTGGATCTCTTAGAGCATCTCCAATAGCAACCCAATAATTTCTTGCCCTAAAACTGGTGTTAGCTGCAGAGAGAGAAGTTTTAGGTTTTTGGAATGTTTTATGCTTTTCTAGCAGCCCTACAACTGGTGACCCAAAATTTAGTCTTCTTCTCTAATCCACAATTGCATACGTATTCAAACAAACTATGACATGGTAATTAAAATTTTGCAACATCACAACACAGATAATCAAGAACATTTCAAATTCAAGTTTATATCCACAATATTTCAAATTCAATTTTGAATATAAGCCTAAAATCAAAAACATTGTGCATCACAAACACAAACAAAAGTGCATTGGACATGAATGCATAGAGCAGTCATATTTCATTGCCTCCATTGTCATCACTAGTGCTTGCATTATCTTCATTGGCGCCATTGTTTCCATTGCCACCTATGCCACTCATGCCTCTAAACCCTCCCATGAAGCCTCTCATAGACGCCATCATCAATACTTCATCGCACCAAAGCTCTAAGCATGTCTTGGCCTTCTCATCGAGGGTATTTGGGTCCATAAACATGAGCTCTTGCCCATTTTACATGCTCTTGATTCTTTCTTCGTAGGCTACCTTCCCTTGCTCCTCGACCCTCATCTCCTCAAAAGTTGCTCTCCTTTCCTCGGTCGCCGCCCTCCTCTCCTCAGTCGTTGTTATCCTCTCTTCGGTCTCCCTCCCCTCCTCCATTTATTTGGCCTTCAAGTTCTTCCTTTCCTTGGTCACCCCCTTCCTCATTGCCATAATGTTGGCCATTGATTCCTTCATGTCATTGCCTCCTCCTTGAAGGAAATATGCCCTAGAGGCAATAATAAAGTTATTATTTATTTCCTTATATCATGATAAATGTTTATTATTCATGCTAGAATTGTATTAACCGGAAACATAATACATGTGTGAATACATAGACAAACATAGTGTCACTAGTATGCCTCTACTTGACTAGATCGTGAATCAAAGATGGTTAAGTTTCCTATCCATGGACAAAAGAGTTGTCATTTAATTAACGGGATCACATCATTAGAAGAATGATGTGATTGACTTGACCCATTCCGTTAGCTTAGCACTTGATCGTTTAGTATGTTGCTACTGCTTTCTTCATGACTTATACATGTTCCTGTGACTATGAGATTATGCAACTCCCGTTTACCGGAGGAACACTTTATGTGCTACCAAACATCACAACGTAACTGGTTGATTATAAAGGTGCTCTACAGGTGTCTCCGAAGGTACTTGTTGGGTTGGCGTATTTCGAGATTAGGATTTGTCACTCCGATTGTCGGAGAGGTATCTCTGGGGCCCTCTCGGTAATACACATCACTATAGGCCTTGCAAGCAATGTGACTAATGAGTTAGTTGCAAGATGATGTATTACATAACGAGTAAAGAGACTTGCAGGTAACGAGATTGAACTAGGTATTGAGATACGGACGATCGAACCTCGGGCAAGTAACATACCAATGACAAAGGGAACAACGTATGTTGTTATGCGGTTTGACCGATAAAGATCTTCGTAGAATATGTGGGAGCCAATATGAGCATCCAGGTTCCGCTATTGGTTATTGACCGGAAACGTGTTTCGGTCATGTCTACATTGTTCTCGAACCCGTAGGGTCCGCACGCTTAAGGTTTCGATGACAGTTATATTATGAGTTTATGAGTTTTGATGTACCGAAGATTGTTCGGAGTCCCGGGTGTGATCACGGACATTACGAGGAGTCTCGAAATGGTCGAGACATGAAGATTGATATATTTGGATGTCGGAAGTGTTCCGGGTGAAATCGGGATTTTACCGGAGTACCGAGGGGTTACCGGAACCCCCCGGGAGCTTAATGGGCCATAGTGGGCCTTGGTGGAGAAGAGGAGAGGCGGCCAGGGCAGGGCCGCGCCCCCCTCCCCCCTAGTCCGAATAGGACAAGGAGAGGGGGGCGGCGCCCCCCCTTTCCTTCCTCTCTCTCCCTCCTCTTCCCCCCTTCTCCAAGTCCAACAAGGAAGGAGGGAGTCCTACTCCCGATGGGAGTAGGACTCCCCATGGCGCGCCTCCTCCCTGGTCGGCTGCCCCCTCCCCCCTTGCTCCTTTATATACGAGGGCAGGGGGGCATCCCATAGACACAACAATTGATCATTGATCTCTTAGCCGTGTGCGGTGCCCCCCTCCACCATAATACACCTCGATAATATTGTAGCGGTGCTTAGGCGAAGCCCTGCGTCGGTAGAACATCATCATCATCACCACGCCGTCGTGCTGACGAAACTCTCCCTCAACACTCGGCTGGATCGGAGTTCGAGGGACGTCATCGAGTTGTACGTGTGCAAGAACGCGGAGGTGCCGTACTTTCGGTGCTTGATCGGTCGAGCCGTGAAGACGTACGACTACATCAACCGTGTTGTGCTAACGCTTCCGCTTTTGGTCTACGAGGGTACATGGACACACTCTCTCCTCTCGTTGCTATGCATCACCATGATCTTGCATGTGCTTAGGATTTTTTTTTGAAATTACTATGTTCCCCAACACTCCTATCTTCAACTTGTCCTTACAGATCTTTCTTCCATCGAGCCTCTTCTTATTAGTAACTGAGTTGGGAGTGGGACTTCTTTTTTCCATCCTTGACACTTGATGCATCATCATCGATGTCAAGATGTGTTGCATCTTGCTACGTCTTGATCTTGCGTTGGTTTTCCTTGAAGAGGAAAGGGTGAAGCAGCAATAGTAGCGTAAGTATTTCTCTCAGTTTTTGAGAACTAAGGTATCAATCCAGTAGGAGGCTCCTCACAAGTCCCACGAACCTACACAAACAAACAAAGAACTCGCAACCAACGCGATAAAGGGGTTGTCAATCCCTTCACGGCCACTTGCGAAAGTGAGATCTGATAGAGATAATATGATAAGATAAATATATTTTTGGTATTTTATGATATAGATGGGAAAAGTAAAGATACAAATAAAAGTAGATTGAAAGCTTATATGATAAGAGATTGACCCGGGGGGCATAGGTTTCACTAGAGTCTTCTCTCAAGATAGCATAAATATTACGGTGGGTGAACAAATTACTGTCGAGCAATTGATAGAAAAACGAATAATTATGAGATTATCTAGGCATGATCATGCATATAGGCATCACGTCCATGACAAGTAGACCGACTCCTGCCTGCATCTACTACTATTACTCCACACATCGACCGCTATCCAGCATGCATCTAGAGTATTAAGTTCATAAGAACAGAGTAACGCTTTAAGAAAGATGACATGATGTAGAGGGATAAACTCATGCAATATGCTATAAACCCCACCTTTTTATCCTCGATGGCAACAATACAATATGTGCCATGCTGCCCCTGCTGTCACTGGGAAAGGACACCGCAAGATTGAACGCAAAGCTAAGCACTTCTTCCATGGCAAGAAAGATCAATCTAGTAGGCCAAACCAAACCGATAATTCGAAGAGACTTGCAAAGATAACTCAATCATACATAAAAGAATTCAGAATAGATTCAAGTATCTCTCATAGATAAACTTGATCATAAACCCACAATTCATCGGATCTTGACAAACACACCGCAAAAAGAGTTACATCGAATAG